GCGGTGGGTAAGTGCCGCCGCGGAGGAGCGCGGGAGTCGCTAGCTGCGCCCGCCGGGAGGGGGATGCAGGGCCCATTCTCCGGGCGTAGAGACCAGTCCCTCCCGACCCGGGGCTGCAGGTGCCCTCGTGCGGCCCAGGCTTCAGCCATCCCCGAGGTGGCCAAGGAACAGCCCCATCTCCGCAGTTAAACGTGTTTCTTGGCCGGCTCCTCCTTCCTGGGGGCTGGAGTTGGTGAGAGCTGCCATGGGATCGTAGGGCTGGAAGGGATCTCCAGCGGCCATCTGGTCCAGGGCCTGCTATACCCTAGACCAGTTGGAGTCAGTTTCGTGCGGCCCAGGCTTCAGCCATCCCCGAGGTGGCCAAGGAACAGCCCCATCTCCGCAGTTAAACGTGTTTCTTGGCCGGCTCCTCCTTCCTGGGGGCTGGAGTTGGTGAGAGCTGCCATGGGATCGTAGGGCTGGAAGGGATCTCCAGCGGCCATCTGGTCCAGGGCCTGCTATACCCTAGACCAGTTGGAGTCAGTTATCTTATGTCAAGGCCCAAATGTCTTGGTCAGTGTGTAGTCAGGGTCGAGATTCCAGAGACGATAATAAGAAAAATCAACATTAGTGGTGCTCGTGATTTTTGTTAATGGTGGGATCCCTTGCAGTCCAGATTTGGCCCACACTTCAATTATTGACTATCCGTGCCCCAGACCATCCCTGGCACGGTGCTGTCCAACATATTTTTATGAGCCTGCAATGATGTGGCGTCCACAGCCTTTCTTGGAACTTTTTTTCAGAGTTTAACTATCCCTGTAGTTAAAAAAAACTTTCTCTCCCATGTAAGCTAAATCTGCCATTCTGCAGATTAAAGCTATTACTTTTTGGTCTGCAATGAATGGATACAGAGAAAAATTGTTCTCAGTCATCTTTACAATTGCCCTTGACTTATTTGAAAACTTACTAAGAACCTGATCTTTTCTTAGGACTAAACATAAGGGTTTTTAACCTTTTATCATTTTTGTTGCTCTCCTCTGAATGCTCTTCAGTTTGTCCACATCTTTCCTAAAGTGTGGAACCCAGAATTGGACATAGTAATCCAGCTGAGGCCTTACCTGTGCCAAATAAAGCACAACATTTAACTTCTGTCTCTCAGGACAGGTATACCACTGTAGCACATCTGGTGAAAATGCTCTGTGCTGACAGGATAGCACTCTTTAATCAGCATAATTACTGCTCCTCAGTAAGTGATGGAAGCTCTGTCAGTGAAAGACTGTATTCCATCAATATAGTACCAGTATGAACAATGCTTAGGTGTTGTAACTTGCATCAGTTGGGGAGTGGGATTTACACCCCTGGGCAACATAAGTTAGGTTGACTTAAGTGATAGTGTAGACCCATCCTTCCGTACACTACTACTATTTCCTACTAATTTCACAGATGTAAAGAATGTATCACAGATTGTGAAATTAACCCTCCACTTTGAAATTTGGTTTCCTCTGCTGCTCGTAGTTGCTATCCTGGCCATTCTGGGAAGGACAGGAGTTGTCCTTCCTTTGTACAGCTGCTCTTGGGAAGATCAGGCCCTCCTCTAGAGATAGCACAGAGTGACTGGATGCAAGTGACTGGACTTGCTGACCTCTCAAGGTCCCTTCCAGTTCTAGTATTCTATGATCATACGTGTCACACAGAAAAATAACTCCAGGGAACATTAATAGAATCCTTGCCTGAATGAAAATGCTGAACAAGTTCTTGAAATTCAGTTGTAAGCTGAATTACATTCTTTTGAGAAGGTAGTAAGCATAATACTTCAAGTATTTTTATTATTGTGAATTTTCTACAGAACTTTGAAACAGCTGTTCAAGAGAATGTTACCATTAATGGACAGCCATGGCAGGAAACTTCAGATCAAGTTGAGCTTCAGAATGGTGTGTGTTTGGTTTTTAACTATCTTCGTTTTATTCTAACCTCTTCATGTATTACCCAAGCAATTGTTCTCATGTTGTTGATGCTGCTAATATATCAGTAATGGTGAGGGAAAAGACCAGACTGAATCCAAGCTTACATGTGTTTAGATTAATGAGTTAGGTGCATCTTTACCCCTAAAACAGTCCCCATATGTATCAGAGGCAGCAAGTGGGGGAGGGAGGTGGGAGATGTGTGTATCCCTGTGACCTTGAAACAAATGGAGTGGAGGAAAGAAAATTTGATCTGAACACTTACTGTTTCACAGTTTTGTTGGATACTTAGTTATTGAGGTGATGGGTGATTTATAAATAGCATAGGTAAACTATATTTCAAGGTAAAGAAGTATAGGGTTGTATAACCAATATCCAGAGTAATTATCCTGCAGAAAGGTTCATAACAAAAGGGTTTATAATATTTACAAAATAAGATGTTTGTTTGAAAATATAAGCATTATTTTACGCATTCACTTATTACAATCCCAGTCACTTTTAGTAAAAATTACTGGAAAAGAAACAAAATATTTAAATTGAATAGGATAAATGAGTACTAATGTTATTTTTATAGCTTTAATGGGAAAGAAACCAGATTTTTTAAAAATATGGAACTAATGATCTTCCTAGTAAATTCCATATAACCTTTTTTAAACTTTGCAATTGTTATAAAAAAAAACACCACAGCCTATGAAGCAACTCCCTCACAATGACAGTCAGAAAAGAAATAGTGACAGAAAACCTATCATAGTTTTGCAAACATTGGAAATACTAATGAAAGTTTCACCACTGTAAAACCACCAGCCAGAGATCAACACGCTAAGTTCCTTGCACATCCTAAAATAGCAAAAATAATAGTATAGAAAATTACAGTACTATTTCCTAATATCTTGATGGTTGTTTGGTGATATCTCACAAGAACTGGTTTGAGACAAGTGTGTTTACATCACAGGAACAGGCAACCTGGACTTATATCCAGAGACATAAGAGTATGTATATTAATATTGCTTCATTTATAGATGGGAACATTTATTTTGCCATTCCCGCTTTTAATGTCTTCTAATTTGTAATAATGGGGATTTTTAGTACCCTGTAGTGTGCAGAGAAAACAATGAGTTTGCTTGCTAATGAGTGTCAGGTATTCTTCCTCACATACAACTGTTGCCCTCAGTTGAGTAAAATTGAAAACATAGGTATGGACTTAAATGTGAAGGAAGAGTTTCCTAAGCTGCTGAACAGCTCAAACTCCAGCTGAAGAGTTGGCTGAGGAAATACTCTAGAATCAATACTTCTTGGCAGAATGTTTGAACTGGAGAATATGGATTCTGCTTTAGAGAGTCTTAACTTAGATCATTGTAAAACTAGCATTTATCAAGTTTTCATCATCTTTGAAACTTTCTTTATGGAAGGATATTTTCGTTTCTATGTTGATCCCTTTTTATTGGATTACTTACACATTTGTGTGTGTGTGTAAGTAAACATTTCTCTTTGTGAAAGACTTCAATTTTTTTAAAAAAAAGTTTGCATTTAAAAATTCTGAAAATTCTCAGTAGGTGGTGTGGCAGGGTGTTGCCCTGTACTGGCCCTTTAAGGGGCTGAGACCTGGAGTCAGGAGGAAGCCCAGCTGAGGCAGCTAACAGAGGGCCCAACTGGAGGCTGTATAGAGGAGCTCCTGGAGGAGAGGAACCAGACCTGCCTGTCTGTCTGCAGTGAGAGAGGCTTCGGCCTAGCAAACCCAGGCTACCTGAGGCCTTAGGGGGTTGCAAGGAAGCAGCCCTAAAAGGCTGGGTTGCAAGGAGGCAGCTGTGGTAGGCTTGGGGAGTTTGAGCCAGGGAAGCTCCAGGCCATAAGTCTGCAAGGCAGGGTTGCAGGAGGCAACTGGGCAGGCAGAGTAGGAAAAGAACTGGGGGTCCTAGGGAGTAGAGAGGACTCTGAAGGAGGAGCAGAGGAAGAACAGTGACACCCCCAGAAGGGGGAACAGACCAAGACCAGAGTGGTCACTGCCAGAGGGCAGTGCCCAGAAGAGTACACCTCACCCAAAGGGGGTGCATTGGCGTCGGAGCAGCTGGTTACTTCCCCACAAGTCACTCTGAGAGAAGAAGCCATTCAGAAAGTGAGTGAGCCCGCTACAGTAGCTAGAGAAGATTCACATGAACCGACTTTGGATCATTTTGAGCTAATGTAGGCACTTGTTTCTTATTGGAATATAAGTGGAAACAGGCCAGAAATACTCAAGTGTGCATTTAAGTTTGCAAGTAATAATATATTTCTAGGAGAAATATTCATTTGAAAATGCAAAATATTGACTTTCATTAAAATAATGCAAAATCTGTTACAATCTTAATGAATCTTGTGATTTGTGTGGGTAAGAAACCCACTTATCTTTCTGGGAAAACAAGTTTAAAATACAACAGTGGTGGTTTGCTCTAGGGATGTCAATGTGTAGTCAACTACAGGATGAACCGATAAACCTGGCCTTATAGATTAATCCTGTCTAATACACACACTTCCCCCTTCCCCGTATCTGAGGCAGCAGTGGGGGCGAGCCACAGCCAATGCCTGTGAGGAGCTGGCTTATTAGTCTTCCTATGAGCACCTGATCCCATGCCCACCAGGGGGCCAGGCTGGAGCTGATACATACAGAGAGCCAGCTTTTATGCAGGCTCCCCACATGTGCTTGTCCGCAGACCTGCCTGCTCCCCTGCCCCCCAGTGCCTCCAACAGAGGCTATGAGAGGGGAAAGGTGAGAGCTGGCTTAAAAGCTGGTTCCCCCAACACCAACTCTTTGGTGCCCAGCAGCAGTATGGGGGGAAGGCAAGGCAGGCTGCTGCAAAGCAGCCTCTGTCTGTGGTAGCTGGGCTTACAGCAGACAGAGGCTGGACCACAGTAGCAGCCCCTGTCCACAGGAGGATCTGAGTTCCTTGTGAACCAGCCTCTGTTCCCAAAGAGCTCAGACCCCCCTTGTTTAGGAGCCACTGCCACAGACCAGCCTCTGCTCACAGCGCGTTCGGGTGCCTAAAAGGCTGGGTTGCATCAGAAGCAGCAGTGTGGCAGGCCGGCGGTCTATGCCAAGAGCTGGTTTTTAGACTGGCTCCCCTGGCAGATGAGCTCCCCCCTGCCACCCTGCACTGCTGCCTCTAATAGAGGGTTGGTGGTGGCTCTCCAGGGCACACTGGCTGCTGCCCCTTCCTGGAGACTACTGAATAGTTGTGTAACCACTAAAATTTCATGTGGTTACTTGACTATTCACTTACACAATATCTAAAATCCCTAGTTTGCGCTCTCACATGAAAACTTCAGGCTCACATTTAGAGCTTTTCCACATTGCATAAATAATTACATATTTATTGAACCAGAGAAAACTGATTATATAGCCAAAGTAGAGCAATTCCAGTAGGAAATAGTGAGAGTGGAATTCTTCTACTACCCCAAATAATTGTCATTCTGGTGGTCAGGACACTTGCCCAAAGTGGTGGGAGTATTAGTTATTTTATGAATAATTTTGGAAAGATCTGGATTTTGTCCCAGTGCAGAACAGAAAATATTTTGAAATTTTCATATTTTTTTTTATGGGATGAGAAAAGAATTTCCCACCCAGCTCTGTTGTTTTACCCATTGGCATTTCTTCCAGATCCACTGGTAATGCATATAGAATAGTAATAGAAATGTAGCTGTGTTAGTCTAGTCTAGCTGAAACAAAAAACAGGACTATGTAGCACTTTAAGGTGCTTCATAGTCCTGTTTTTGGTAATGCATAGATTGACCAGTAGAAGGCGCTGAATACCCATCTTTCCTTACTTTTAAATGTGCTCAGCTTTTGGATCACATTCATTTTAGAATACAGGGTTATATCTGCTACCCTAACTCCATTTCCCTCTGTTTAGCTCTAGTATGTAATGATAGCTATGACATAAAATAACATAGACAGCTAGTTAAAGTTTGTTGGAGTCTCAGACAAATCTCATAGTATTTGGCTTTAAAAATTGTCAAGTTTAATTGCCAGATTTGAGAAGATAAGAACTTATTATAGAACACTAATATTGTGAACACTACTCATGTAAAACTTGTCCCCTCCCTTTCCGACCAAAGGAAAAATGCCTTTCATATTTTGTCTGATACACAGATTTTTAAAGAATAAATTCTTAAAAGTATTACAGAAAGATCAACTGGAGTGTGTATATAAGTATGGAGATAAAATATGCATTGAAAAATATGACTCATATCAGGATTATCACCCTTTTTCCCCTTAAATTCTTTTACATGTAGTCAAGAACAGCATCCATTACTGTTGCAAGAAAAACATTGTCTGGAAAATAGCCAGCCTTTGTTCTGAGTCACGGTAATGGCATACCTTGCAATAACTTTCAAGGAGTGCAAAGTTTGTTTGAAGTCTAGCATGTGTCTTCAGGCTGAATACATGTTTGAAAGAGCTACCACAGATATCAAAGCAATAACGTTTTAGAATACGTGTCAGCAAGCCATATTTGGCTCTTTCGCAGCTTAAGCTGAGCCCCTCCGCTCCAGTCTCATGGCCCTCTGCAAAATTGGAGCACCAGCACTGGCTTCCTGCTGGGGGATGAGGGGGAAGCCTGTAGCCTCCCTGCCAGATCTGTCTTTTGGGAAAGCAACCAGAGCTAGAAGAGGCTGTGTACTGTTGCTCCCCTCCCCCAGCTGGGGGAAACAAGTGTGCAGACACACTTTGTGGAGCTTTCCCTGCTGCTCCCATTGGAACAGCGGGGAAAGCCTCTGGTGCCTAGGAGTGGCATGCAGTGTGAAAACAAGTGCTCCCCCAGATCCTGCACCCCCAATCCTCTCTCACAATCCCTCCCTTGCCAAGACCCTGCACTCCCAGCCTGCTCCTGCACCTTCTCCCTGGCCAGATACCCTATCTACCCCCATCTTGCTCCTCCAGCCTCCCTTGCTCCTACTCCTCTCCCTCCAGCCAGACACACTACTCCCAGTCTGCTCCC